AGAATTGGCGTCTAAATGGGTCCCATCTGCAACTAGAAAACGCATCAACTTGCGGAGCATTTCAGAAACTAATCATGGTGGATCATGATCATTCTGTACAACAAGCCTTACCTCAAAATAGTAGAATAAGCTTGGAAATGATTTATAACAAAAATATGGGGCACATGCAAACATTCAAGAAGCACAATCTTTTATCACAGGTCGCATCGCGAACCTGCAAAAGGCATGTGCGTCCGTCAGTAAGTAAGCGACTGCCGGCCACCTCTTCTTCTGCATAGTCCACATGCCTGTTTCCATCGAGCTGCAAATCGAAGCAGTTGGAAATAGTCAGTCTCTGTAACCTAGAAATCAAATTGCAACAAAGTTGAAACAAGGGTGCTGAAGTAGAGGATCACATGAAGTTTCTGGACCTGAAATTGACTTACAGAAGGTTTGTAATGTTCAATCCATAACGAAAACAGAAAAGAATCAGGCTAGAAATGGTGCCATAGCCAAATGAAGAGCTGGCAGATCAGATGAGTTGCTGGAATACAAGTCCACACCTGAACAAGAAGACCATCTCTAAGTAAAGTACATTTTAAAATCCAGCAGCAACAGGGTCAAAGTAAAGTGTCTTGAAATCATCTTACATAAAGAGCACCATCTACAAAAGATGTATCTCACGACAGAAATGGTGCCATAGCTTAATTTCCCATGTAACAAGATACAAAAAGTAGGTGTTGATACCTTGATCGAAAAGTAGGCCCACATACTAGGTTTTCTTCTGAAACTGATCCCTGAACTTGGCCATCGGTGGGCTTGAAGCTATCATCGGGGTCTCATCTTATAGCCCGCACTACTACAACATGGTCCTTGTGTTCCTGCGATGAACTTCGGACAAATCAAAGTAGAGTGCTTCTAATGCCTACCTCCAACAATAGTGACCACCACCTCCATGATCAAAATGACGACGAATTTCTGACCATTGAAAACTAAGGTCACCAAGGATGAGAGCAATTTCATAAAGACTTTCAAGTGATAGCGTATCGACAGCCACCAGAATCAGATCACTTACTCCAATAATCAATCTTCCATGGATTTTCTTTAAAAAAATAGCTGTCGAATGTCTCCATATGGTGTACTTATCTCCTGTAGCACATTCGATACGTGTTCAATTCTGCGTCAAGAAGACCATTTCACCAGGCATGCGTCACAGTGGAACACCTATGGAAACATCAAATTGAGCAATCCATTTAGTAACAGGGTGCTGTACCTGCACAACCAGAAGCAGTGTATGACGGCAGAGCAGGGTACAAACACCAGTGCTTCAGCAATCAAGCGCTTCTTACAATTGTGAAGACCATCAACTTTCTGTAAGAGCTGGAATGAATACTTGAAGACGAGGATTGAGTTCCAGAACGTGAAATTCCCCAGTCTCCATGCTGTACAATTATTCTACAGTTGCTGCTTCAGTGCAGTTGACACACTTGGCGACCGAGAGGCTCGTTGCTCTAATCGCTTCACTGTTTAGGAACGTGTAATACCAATAGGTCCTTCCTCAAGAATCTATTACAAGGGACATCAACCCTACATACTAGTCACAAAAACTCAAAAATGAGAGTGCTGTGTATGACTCATATGACTCATATGACCTGGAGAACCAGGACATTCTGACTGACACGAAAAGGAAGAAAAAGCATGAGGGCTCCTGCTTGAGACTCACCTTTTGGTGCCGTCTTTGCACATTAAAATCACGGCTGTGCAAGGCTGCTACATTTTCGTACTTGTCACAAAGCTGCTGAACCTTGAGATGTCGATATTGTGTGGCGACCTTCAGGATAAAGATCGGCGAGCCTGGCTCTTCACCCTGTGCTTTCTTGAACAACACCTTCGCTTCCTCGCCGTTGTGAACCCTCCGAATACCTTCCCCATCGCCTACACAAGAGACCTTGATCATGGTGGGGTAGGCGACCATTTGGCACGAAGTCAAGCCATCCTCGGTGGTGGAAACCAAAATTAGACAATCCCGACTCACCACCACCTCCCGTGCCATAACCATTCAGCCAACAATTTTGAGGTGAATGATCCTGGCAGTTAGGAGTGTGAACCTCCACAATCAACTAGACCATGACGTGGTTGATCCAATTGGTGCCGCTGTGCACTTATACGAACCTATCAGCCATGCGGATCTGCTCCGCACTGATGTGCATATCTTCGGGAGTCGCCATAACCACCAGTAGCACAGACCTCTCAACTCCGAAGCTCTCGTACGACCACGAGCGCACGCTACGCAAAAATTTGCCGGAGGTCATGCCATGGTTTGCACTCGGGATTCTGCAAGTTGGACACTAGCAACTTTCTTCTTCTTCTTCTTCATGTATTCATGTAGCCCGTCGACGACCAAGATTGGCCGCACCGCCTCAAGGGCTACCAAGCTGATCCTTCACCCTTCTAAACGATACAGCTTCCTCTCGATACATGCTTGCTCCTGAATTGGACGAAAGTTTCCAATTCCTGGCGACGATGCCGTTTGAATGCTCCTTCTGCTCTGTGTTTCACCTGCATCACCGTGCAGCCACCCTCGAAGACAGCAAGTGATCCACAAATTGCATGCACTTTCACCTGAGATGGAATCCTCGGAAACCGAAAGCTCATTACCTCTGCCCGTCGATGCACAGAAACTTCGAAAAAAACACGAAACATGAGAACTTGATGGAGGAAGCACACAATCACTTTCGCAAACCTGACAAACTTGACAAATGTTTTCAAGTTACGATCCCAGCAACACTCGCATAACCTTCACACAATCATATTCTTGCAGACTCGCAGACGCCGATGTCAGTTGTGAATTTGATTTTACATTGGGCTTGAAAGTTTAATGTTCTGACTGCAAGTGTTGCTAGTGTTGTGGACGATGTTTTGATTTACATTTTCGTTGTGATTTTATTGTTGGGTCAAATATCACTTAGAATTGGAAATTGTTATAAGGATACTTGAAGTGGTTGAAGCAAGTAAGGTTTTATTTTATTTTTTGAAAAATAAATAAACTTTAAAAAAACCAATGACTTCTATGCATATTAGGGTGTTAAAATTATTTTTAAAAACTTAAAAACTTAGATTAAGTCAAATTTCTGAATATATTATATTATTAGACATTTAAATTTTAATTAAAATAATGATAATACTTTCAAATGTGGAGTATATCCATTACCACAAACATTCCTTGTATTAATAAAAATCAGTAAGAATATTATTCAAACACATAATTTTGTATTTCTTCAGAGAATCGTCTATCCATCAATACTAAATATGAATGATGTATGTATATATATATATATATATATATATATATATATAATAGATGAAAATTAATAAAGTAAATGCTATTAAATAGTGCAATACAACTCTTGAAATATTATAAATTGATGTCTGAAATATATTATTACACTCAAATCATCATTTCCATTAAGTATTCAATTAAAAAAGAGAAAATAAAATCTCAAATAATAGAATTGATTTTAAATCAAATATTATTTTAAGAAAATAAAAAAAATCAAAATTACTTTTGTGTATATCAAAATTTGGTACTATTTTTATTAAAAATGTTTGTAATCAAAACCAGAAATAAAAAATAAAAAATAAAAATTGCAACCATGGTATTCTTCTATTTAAATTTCCTTTGACTTAAGTATTTAATATCTTTAAAAAAAATACATGGAATCTCAATGAAATGTCTCTTCAGTTTGTCTCCATGTAAAGGTTTTCAAAATTTCCTGTGCATCAAAGAATTTTGTATTTTATCGTTAAAGATGTTTCAACAAGTAAGAAAAAACTGTCAATCACAGCATGTAAACCGTTGTTAAAAAATATATATTTTCCAACCTTCATTTTAATTATTAAAAAAAAAAAAAAAAAAAAAAACTTCTCCTCTGTTCTTATTCTGTTCTTATTATTAGATTTCTGTACTTATTTTATTTTTTTTATTATTTTTTTTGGTGCATGTGGGTCTGTGTGTATGTATGCTCAAATATCAACTAAATCCATGATTTCAAGCAAGCATGTGAATTGGTTTCACTGCCACGGTGGCATGAGTCACACAGTCGGTCGTCCACGCTGGCACTCTCGTATGTCCCACTTCACTCCTTAACTGCGTTCACACCGTCATGGTCTGGATGAGGACTGGGGCGGAAACTTCCCAACGAGGCCTGGATGAATGGATGAATAAGGACCTCTTTTTCACCCTCCCAATCTCTCTTCAGCTCTTTGATGATGCTGCCCTGATTATTATCACTATTGCACATATTGTATATCAGTGATTATGCTACAATTGATATTAACAAGAAATAATAATTATCAAGGAAACTGAATCATGTACTTCCATACAACCCACCAATCTACTACTTTCACAAAAAACGCAAAGATTAGTTTTCGCTTACATACACCTCTTACTTTTATTTCTGGTTTTGATTACAAACATGATCATTATCCCATGAAGACCATGAATTTTGCACAAAAGTGTATACACATTCCACCCTACTTTTATGTGAGAAGTGTATTCATTCACCTTCATTCATTCACATGCAATCTCATCACTTTGATAACCTCACCGTAAGGCTGAAGAGAGTGTTGTTTTTTGTTTTGTTTTGTTTTTTTTGTTTTTTGTTTTTTGTTTTTTTTTTTATGTTTTTGGCATTGCTAAAAACCAGTTTCAACATTAAAACAGCCTCGATCCGCTTTCATCCGTAGCGTTGCCGGATTCGAGGAGGGTCCAAGTGGAGCGATGGCGGAACTGCGAAAGTCGCGTGAGGGTAGCTGGCCTTCACCGTCTGGAACTGGCAGCTCGTGGTAGAGGACGACGGCGTTTAGGCCCATCCCGGAGCTCCACTGCCATTCCTCTAGCTACAGTCCCCGCCCAGTTTTTCCTCTGGATCTCTCTGCATCCAAACTGATACTGGTCGCCACCAACCCCCGGGATTTGTCGTTTCAACACCCAAGTTGGGAGTCGGGACTAATTGCGGCCCATGGGAGTGTTGGATCATAATCGGGATGAGGTGTCAGGTCCTAGTGTGAGCATTTTTTGATCATATATTTCGCCTGGATGAGTCGTATCCTCAAACGTTCCAACGTGTTCCCGACCAGCTCTTGCATGATCGATAGCAGCTGTTCGGCAAGTTTCTGTGACGTCGAAGGCGATTGCTCAAAAGATCGACATCAGTGCAGGTCTGCGTCTGGGTTACCGGTTGCTGTGGTTGCTATGAAGGCTGACGGTCGATAATTGAGTTGCTGAGTTCAGAGTCGAACTGTAGGAGAGGTTTGTGCTTGAATTTTCAGGATGGCAAAACAGAAAGACACGAGTGCTATTCCTCGCCAAGCGAGATGGCATCGACAAGGTGGTCAAGACTCTCCAATATGCCGGCAAACTGGCGCACTGGAGCCTGGAGGAGCGTAACCCCATCCTCGCCGCGCGGTACAAAAATCTTGAGGTTGCAGCAGGGTTGAGTCGCAAAGCGCACCGAGCCGGCAGGTCTCTTACGGGATTTAGCACTCTCCGCAGCACGACGTACCCCGACCTCACCATCCAGCTGCTCACCATCTTCGGCTTCAGCGGGGAGATGGTCTACTGGTTGTTCGACCACTTCACGTGGCTTTCCAAAGTCGGCGTGCTCAACGCCGGTCTCGCAGCCAAGACCATATACATCTCGTCGTTCGGGGAAAGCGTGGGCTATATCTTCTTCATCACCATAGACGTGATCCTTATCAAGCGAGGCATGCAAGCCGAGGCGGTGTATAAGAAGCAGCTGACGAAGTTGGAGGCTTCGGAGGATCCCACACTCATGACGGAGGAGTCCGCCACATTGGTGCAGGTTCAGAGCTTAAAGGCGAAGATCTCTGGTATCAAGATGCAGAGGGTCATGTCAACAATGTCGATCATCGCTCGGACCTCGGACCTCATCATCGCGCTGTCAGTCATAGATCCAAACCCGTTCGTATCACACACAATCACCCTGGGGCTCAGTGGACTTGCGTCTGCTTGGGCTGGATGGCACCAACAGTGGCCGGAGTCCAACTAAGCTGCGCTAAATGTCCAGCTCTCGACGTATTTCCTTCTGAACCAAAATTGGAGACGATCAATGAGTGATTGCCGTGGCATAGCTACACAGCCTCTTCCAATTGATGGGCCTCATTTAGTACATTTCAGAAATTGTGAATAACAAGGACAATCAGTGATGTTCTTCTACACTCCTTGGCTTGCTTCGATTTCTTTTTTCAAGAGCAATACTGAGAATGTTGAGGATATGGTTTGGGCTTGCATGGAGGGCCACTGGAAACAGAATAGTTCCGTGGAACTGAGATGCAAGTAGTGAGGCACAATTTGACAGTTCAATAATCTTTATGGTTATCTTTCTGTGTTTCGTGGAACATCGCTTTGAGCAAAAAAAAAAAAAAAAAAAAAAAAAATGGGTCAAGAGTGACGATGCAACCTACAAGTTATCTTTCATAATATTATCTTAAATTACACCTCAACATTCCTCTGATGGTTGCTACCTCATATCAGCTCATTCCTGAGACTTGACGTCTAGAAAGTACTAATTAAGGTGTTAAATCTCAACCACTCAGTGGTGATAGCAGGACTCAGCTGCCAAATCTAGCTTAAATTTCACAACCAGTATGGATTCAAACTGGAAAGGTCCAGAATAGTGAAGTTATCACTATTCTACCCGAACAATGCGACTTCAAATCTACCAGACTATCCAGGATCACACACTGGCTCAAGACGATATATCGAAAATATAAACAGTTCCTGCATCGAAAAATAGATTGGCTATTGATGAATAGACTGGATCTCTCACAATACTTTCGATTTCGTTGAAAGTTTACCCCGAAACACCAAAGAAGGATACACATGTATTAATCTGTTAAAGAGCAGAGGAAATCACAAATTGGAATGTACCTTGAGGTAATGAAGCCGAAAACATGAATCCATCGCCGTAAAAGCTAACCCAATCAAACACTTTGCTTGAGGTCGACATATGTACAGGAATTTGTCAGTGCTCAAGATTTCTGCACAAGTAGCGCTTGGACGGTTAAAATTGACAGATCCAGGAAAACCAAGGACACATAGACCTTCACATGAAGAGGATAGTTGTCAAAGCTCCAAGCAAACTGAAAATGTGCAACAGATCAATAATACCAGAAGCATATTTAACAGAGTTCAACAAAACAAACTGCAAATCATCACAGAAAAGAAATGATTATAGGGTGTACCGGTTGTAATCCGAAGTTGAGATTATTGTTATCACAAGACTTGAAGATGGCCAGTTTGCTTGAGCATGATTGATGTGTAAGGACACATGCCCTGCAAGTTCGTCCAATCTGTTCTACCAATCAATGCTAACTACATATCTGGCAGGGGCCATAATTAAGCGACATACAGTGCCACATATAACCTAGACATTAGTTATGAGGGCGTCAAAGGAGTTTCTCACACAAACGAAATGACCAATTGTAGAGAGTCAAAAGTCATGATGAAAAGAGTTTATCCAATATCAGATCTCTGGCCTTTTCACGATCTACAAAAGTTATCTAAAAGAATTGTTAATGTAGAGAAGAGAGGGACCTATATTAGAATCTAGCCATTATCTAACCAGGAACCAGCAACTCCTCTCAAAGCGCGAAAGGGTCGTCCATGAATGCATCCTATCATCAATATTTGACAAAGCTAAAACTAAAAGGGTATAAATACAATTATTGGAGCCCGTTCTTGAAGATCGACACTAAATTACAAGTTCAATGCCTGCCAACCATCACAGCCCAAGCAGCTCAAGGTGGCTAGAGTTGTCAACCAAGATAATCTTCCGTTTCTTTGTCCAGCACATACTCTTCCATAATCACCATGTTTTGCTTCAATTCCTGCTCGTGCCCACAGACATAATTTAATCCCACGAGCAGCTCCGTGATGGCAGCCTCCGTCTTTGCCAAGTCAGCAAAGTATAGAGTTTGCAGGAGAAGGCAATTAGTGCGGGAAAGCACTTGCTGCTGCTCAAAATTGTGCTCCGACTGCCACCTTATCATGTTGTGAGCGAGAGGAGCCAACCAGCTCAAGATTCTCTCAAGTGCATCTTTCCAGTCAGCAGCAATTGTAGAATCATACTTTCCAAATTCACATGCCCTCATGTTCGCCCGTAACCTTGACCGCAGAGCTATTCGCACACTCTTAGGAATCATGTTATAGAGATCATCCCGGGCATCTTCAGCAATCAAGTGGGGATGCTTTATCATATTCTCGAGAATGATTATCACATTGGCATAATGCAACGCAAGTGCAGCTCCTCCTAACGTGGACCAAGGTGCCATCCGATGCCGGCTCTTGGGGTCGCACAGCTCCCTAATGTTTTGCCTGACCTGTTTAAGAGAAGGGGCTTTTACCTGCTCAGCTTTGATACTATGCTTAGTAAAATAAAGAAGTGCAGAAGTGAACTCCTCAGTTGTTTCAGTTTGAAGAATGGCGTTCAAAGACCTGTCAGAAAATATCTTTGCAGGTTCTACAACAAGGGGCCCTGACCTAGGGATGGGCCCTGAATGTGATATAGCTTGTGATCCTCTTGCAGGACTGGAACGGGGGTTAACAGGATTACTACTCATATAATTCCTCTGTGAAACCAATGGACCTGAAGCAAACGTAGAAGCGGATGAACGGTACTCACAAACAGCTCTCGCAGATATGGCAGCTGGATCAGCAATTCCGAGGACTCTGTCTACGGATGAGGTCTTAGAATCCTGCGGGCTTAACGACCTTGACACAACTTCTAATCTAACTGAAGAAAAGTGCAGAGAAGAAGAGTGGTGATGAAGAGACCCCAAAGTTTGAGGACAAGATAACCGTGAACTTGACAACGTTGAATGCACACCTGCATCTCGACTCTGCCAAATAGGTCTCGATGAATGACCACTCTGCTGGTTTGGAAATACATGCGATATACCAAGCATAGGTGAACCAAATACTTTCATAATTCTTCCATGTATAGTGCATACGGTTTGTGCTAACAATTTCACAATCTTGTCGTATGTGTGGTTCCACAAAGATAGATCTCTAATATGCTTGATCTCCTGCCGCTGGCACATTGCTTTTTGATCCAATGTACTCAAGGTTTCTTCGTTTGAAACTTCATCGTCTTCCTGAAGTCTACGTATAGCTTGCTCTATGTCTGCAAGAGCTTCCAATTCATGATAAAGAGTGGCAGTTGAGGATACATACCTCATCATCTTCTTCATTTTGGCTTCCATCTCTTTGTATGGTAGCTCAAAAACTCGCAGATTAATATCATGCTTTAACAAATCATTGTAAATGTGCTCAAACGCCTGCAATGTCGGTTCCTGGCACTTCTGACCAAGGCGAGAAACTGCACTTGCTACCGCCGTCAAGTCTTGCAGCTTCTCCATACATGCTAGGCTTAATAGGACAGCTTCATTGTCTGAAACTAAATTTAATACACCATCTCCTTTTATTACCTCAGTGCGTAGCCGGAGAATTTCCTGGTCACCGAGAGATTGCCAAAGTTGCATACTTTTGGAAATAATATTTGCCACCTCAAATGCGAGTATGCCAATTTTCACTTCCTTCTCTTTATTACCCTTCTTCTTGGATTTAGGGCCAAGCTTACCGGCTGACGCTTTGATGGTGCTAACGTGAGCCCCCATAGATTATTGTTGCTTTTCCCACGGCAACTGCGTAAACGACCTTATTTCAAAAGGTGGGAGGTAAAGTCCAGTCCTGTGCAAAGAAACTTCCTCCTCCTCCTCAACACGCCACCCATTAATCAACCACAAGAGTATCGCGACTTGACATCTGAGTTGAAATTCTTTGGGGAAGATTCAAAGGGACCAAGTACAAAATTCCTGCACGTTCGCTAGCAACAGACGTGTACAACAGATGAATTACCCAGATCACTATGACACTTCCCATCACAATATTTTCACTAAAATCATGTTTTCAAAAAATAAAATAATAAAAGATAAAAGTCCGGCGTCAAATAAAACTCAAAAAACCGGGAATCCCGGGTCATGAATTTTACTGTCCGCTTACCCAATTAGATCGGTCAGAACAGCCCTGAAATAAATCAATGAAAGTGAAGATCGGATCGTGTGATGACCATCGACTACTCCGAGCAACAAAAATATCAGAATGCTACCATGATTCTTCTTTTTCTTACATGTTGGATGTGTTGCCCCTTCTCATCAGCGACTCATGGCTTAACCTCGCTTCGCAAAATGTACTGGATTCTTCTGAACCGCCAAAATTCCAGATTGGATTCAGCTCGACTGTATTACACGGTAAATGTGGATTTGAGAGGAGAGAATACTGTGACTTGGTCAAGAACTAGGCTCAAGACTATTTGGAGCATAATGTGGCCGTAGAACTAGACTCAAATCTATTTTGAGAATTCTGGTTGACTCTTCTCAGTCCTTGATACAGATGTCTCCTTTCCCCTTACTGAGCAATTATCACAATCTCCACAGCTGCAAACCTTGACGAAATACATTTCGAACGATAATCTGGAAGAGGATTGTACCGACACACTAGAACGACAAGCTCCTCCAGAGACATAGAACACTGTCTATCAAACGGAACCAAGTCCAGTTCGCCATGGGCAAACCTAGATGATCTTCTACCTGATCACTGACTCAAAAATCAGAAAGAAAATAAAAATGCAGAAACAAACAAACAGGTTTGTGCTCTAAAACATACTCTTTCGAAAAATCACCCAGGGGCAATGGCATTACCTGAAAGCTTCATTCGGCAACGTGCAACCCAATCCTCTCCTCCCTTCCTCACTCTTCTGTCTAGATCATCCTCCTTGTCCCCACACTCTCTCTCTCTCTCTCTCTCTATCCCCCCAAAACCTTGATTCGAAGGCCTTTAGAACCCCAGTTCTTCAACCCCCATTCCAGCTCCGTAACAACGCATCCGCAGCAGCACCATTACCTTGAACAAATACGACTGAATCCGCGCGGAGAATGCAACCGATAAAACACGGGACGAGAGAATTTGGCAACCAAATAGGGCATGAAAAAAAAAAAGGGGGTAGTGCGCACACATCCGACGACGGATTCGCGATTGGAAGGCGTCCCAAAATAGCAACCACATGTGACAGTCGGGGAACCGCGAGCAACATAATTGTCACGGTGGCGACGGCGTTGCGCGGGGGATTTCTCAGCCAGAACTCGCTTCGCCCCTCCGCCCTTCGCCGTACCTCCACCCACCTGCGGTACTGCCCCCCAAACTCGGTTACACACGCTTCCCGCAGTTACCGGTGACCGTTTACAGCACCTGACACCGTGGTCGCCTCGTGGGTTTCGTTCCCCAACGAATGAAAAACACGCTCACACGTTGACGACAAGTAGTTCATCGGTCATCTCTGTCCAATATCCTATACAGGTTTATTTATCCCCTGTATACCATGTCACTTTCTTTCTCATTCTTTTTATTGAGAAAGAGTAGTTTTGAGATAACATCTTCCTCGCAAACTGAATTAAATAACTTCCCTTGAAATGGAATCATCAAGATATTTTTGCCAAGTTACATCACAAATATCAACATCAAGCACAGAAAGTCCAAACCTAGTGATTTTTAACCTAGTGAACATGTGTATTTAATGGACAAAATGACAGTGTGTGGGATGGGTTTTTGTCTTGGCAGCCATTCCTTTGACATAAGTTTAATGGGTTCCTACTGAACTTGATGTACCTGGCATAAAATCATAATTTGGGAGATGGGAACATGGCAGGATTACAGGTGCCTTTTTCAGGGTTTTGTGTGTGTGTGTGAAGTAACTGCAAAGAGACACCAGGTTCACCATGGACAGTAAATGATGGAAAGGTGGGGTAGCAGTGTGGCTTTGAAGACTTTGCAAGCCACATTCACTCCCAGATTGCTGCACCAATTACACACCCTCCAAGGCAGTTTCCCTATGGAACATGTGACCCCCACCCATGTATGGGAGTCACCTTCAGTGAAAAAACAAACAGCATTAAGGATTCTAAGTGAAGAAGAGCCATACATTTTATCAGTGTTCATAACCAAAAAAGTTCAACCAGCACAAAATTAACTGCATTTTATTTTTGATTGTTAGGTTCCTTCATTGTTAGAGAGAATGAAGATATGTAAGTTTAATATGCACAACACAGTGGATTTTTTGAAAATTATAATAGAAAGGTTCACAAGTACCTTTAAACCAATAGAAAAATATACATGTAAATATTATGAAAACACATTCGAGTTTATATTTCAAAACCTCCAGTGGTTTCAAATTTCGAATACAGTAAATAAGAATATTTTGTAGCATAGCATGTACCAGTCCAAGATATCATAGCATATTTTTCAAAAATCTTTACAAAAATGATCAATTTACAATACACATGTGGTATTCTATTACATGTTTTCATAAATTATATTTCATTGAGCTCATGTAATTTTTAAAAATAGGACAACAAACCAATTAACACAAATGCTGCATTTAGTGTCCTTTTTCCATGAAAGTCATAAGTTATTCAAAACACTACTCTTCATCAATCATATATATCAATGTCACAAGTTGCTTGTCAACATTATATTTGATCAAGTTCTACAGTTCATACCTTGATATTTTTAAAAATGACGATCTTGACACACACACACACACACACACATATATATATATAATCACTTATTACAAATATCATAAAAAATCTTAAAATAAAAATAAAAATAAAAAACAAATACATATTCAGACAAGAAGCTTAAGTAATATTTCAAGTATTTAGTTTACTATGAATAAGAAAGTTGGACATACCATTATTTTCAGTTGAATTTGCTTGTCAGAATATCATTCATGCTTTTTATGCTGTAACCATCATCTTATATCAATTATACCTCTTATCCTAAACCATGTACGCCTAAATAGTTGAAACTATCAATCTAATGGCAACAAATTATGAAAGCTATTATTAAAATCACATGTATCCTTGAACCTTCATTTGGAAGAGACAAAACAATGTATAGGCAAATATTGAAAAAATCAAGGGCATTAATTGTTTAATTTGTTTGTATTACATTACAGTGATAAATACTTTATTTTTTAAACTATCATTTCGTTTATTTGGATATTTCAATGACAAATTGTAGAATTGTTTCTATCAAACTTACCTTTAATGGCTTTTCTGTAACACATGTATCAATAACCTACAAAGTTCTTTTTTCTAAAAAAACTTTGTTGAAAGAATTTTCTTCGAAGGTTGGATAATAAGACAAAAAGAAATTGTACAATAAATTTAAAACCTTGTAAGTGAAGACATGAACAAAGTCAATAAATAGGTCATACTTTTTCTCACGTTTCCAATTATCCCTCTAAATATTATTTATACTGCTAATCATAAACGCTCTCATCTCTTGACATTGTTATTTCAACCTTCTTGTATTGTGCAGGAATCACTAATAATGTTCTTGTATTTCTTCACTTTTATTTGCTTGAAACCATTGATTTGTGTCTTAAATCATTAGAATATGTTCTGTGCAAATTATACAACACTTAGAAAATAGTACAACATGAAATCCAAAATACAAACAAAAAAACCACACACATGCACACACACACACACACACACACATATATATATATATATATATATATATATAGAAGCTAGTGTTAAGTAGATAAATGTTTTTAGTAAATCAACCCATTCTACCCATCATGAAAATGAATAAATAAATGACTTCTAGATTCATTTCTCCATTATTTGATTTGCAACCAATAAAAACTAACCACACTCATCATGATTACTATATTCTTCATCAATAGTGAGTATATTTAATAAAAAATGGGTGTATTTAACATCCCCTATATATACATATATATAAATGCGTATGTATTAATAATATGCAAATACATTCATGACCCCACAAGTTTATTAGAAAGGTATACATTTTATTTGAAACATATTGTTCGAGCGTTGCAGCCTTCTCAAGATCTATCTCTGTCGTACATGTCCAAGAATCTATAAAAGTCGACTCACAAGATGTACTCTATCTGTACATATCAAGATGTAATGGAATTCCCAGTCTCTATCGCCAGTGTCATGTTCGAAGGGTAAAGATGTGAACTACTCCAACTGACAAATCTTCGTCATAATTTCCCAAACTTGTACACTCTTACAACTGGCTCAACGTGAGTGGAATGCGTCCTTCAGTCGGTTCTCCATCGGTCGCTCTCGTGACTGGGATAGCATGCACCGACCAGCGGTCGGTCATATTAGGGTAATGGTGTGTTGATAGAGGTTCGACGTCAGTGTTCCTCAGACTATTTTCTTCGTTCGGATCTGTTACCGTCGCAATCTTCACTGTATCGGCACATCTCTGATTCTGAGTTTGTTCGGATTCAAGTCGAAAATCGCGTTGATACGATGGCTGGAGATAATGAGGAGGTGAGAGGGGTGAATGAGGCCACTTCGTCGGAAGTCACTGGGGAGGAAACAGAAGAGACTTCGAAGGTTGCAGGAGAGGAGGAGGATACAGGCGCTCAGATTGCCCCTATCGTCAAGTTGGAGGAGGTTGCGATCAGTACCGGAGAAGAAAATGAGGACGTGCTGATTGATTTGTGAGTCATGTGTTGACGGAATTTTGGGATTCGTTGGGTTCTGCCGGATTAGGGTTTCCTTCTGTGCGGAGGTGGTAGATCGATTGGGGGCACCGCGGATGATCGTCCTCAAGAATGATATGAGGGCTTTGGTTTTTCCTTTGGGGTTACCTTGGTTTTGATTTTGTATTGACTACGTCAGCATGTTTATACGTTGGAATGAACTGTGTGTGCTATTCTCAGGAAGGCTAAGCTGTATCGGTTTGACAAGGAAGGAACACAATGGAAAGAGAGGGGCGTTGGCCAAGTGAAGATTCTAGAACACAAGTCAAACAAAAAGGTTCGCCTGCTCATGCGGCAAACCAAGACCCTCAAGATATGCGCTAACCATATGGGTAAGTTTGCAAGTTTTCTGTGCAGTGTGTTTGGGAAGCTTGAATATGGTTTCCGATCGTGAACATAGAATGCTATTGCTTATCCCTTATCGGCACACATACATGAGTAATTCATTCATGGTGAGGTTTCTCTTTGTAGCGAGTTCACCTTCTGATCACTGTAGATCTAGGAACTTTTATGACAGCGAGATTGGTTATACATTGGGCGCTTATTCAATATGCCTCAGGCAGCGTATGATAAGTTACAGAAAGAATTAAACCAGCCTTTGCAGTCGTATGGGAGGATGGTTATATTCTGATTTATAGTTCAATTTTCCTGTTTTTTTTCCTCAATGTTTCCTCGTTTTGATTTTTCACCTTTAAAGTAACTATAGTTTTTTCTGCAGAGCATTTGGATCAAATGTTGTAAGCAATAGATATGATGAAAAGTATTCAGCTATAATAAATTCACCCTTTAGAGGACAGCGCCTTTGCTATCTGGGTCTTTGATGAGAAGACAACTTTGCCTGCTGATAGAGTGCACTCAGATTTGTCACAATACCGCCTAACTGTACCGGCTAAACTTTCTCTGCAGTTACGGCATCTACTCAATTACAGGAGCACGCTGGCAGTGATAAGTCTTGGGTCTGGCATGCACGGGATTTCTCAGATGGTGAGCTGAAGGAGGAACTTTTCTGCATGCGGTTTGGAAGTGTTGAAAGTAAGTTCCATCTGCATATCCATCCTCTTCTTTCTCGAAGTTAATGCTTGTTGCAGTGCAGTGTTTGCGACAATGTTGTTCTGTATGTTTCCAGGAATTTTGATGTAATACAAGATCTATTCAAGGTATGTGTTGTCTCTATATTGCTTTTTTCTTCAATCTCAAGGCTATTGTATGAACAGGTGCTCAGAAGTTCAAGGACGTTTACGAGAGTGCTCAAGAAAGGGTATCGGGGAAGTCAGAGGAGAAGGACGAGGAGGCTGATAGTGCAGCCGACTTGCTGGAAAAGTTGAAGGTGGAAACCAAGTCTGAGGATGCCGCTGCACCTGAGGAAAAGACCGAATCGAATGTATGATAGACTGATACATGGGTTGTGGTGATCATGTGCTTAATACGATGGTATGTAGTCATACATGGCAGTACCTGGTTGATTGATGCATGTCGGCTTTTTGCTCTTCAACATGGTTTGAAATTGGAGAAATGTTATTTTAATTTCAGTGTATTCGTGTAAAACTCCTTGTTAGTGTTTGTAATTAGTGCGCAATTTTCTCGTAAATTTATGTCCTATTAGCTTCATGCATCACACCTCTTTCTAGATGTTCAATAGTCATCGTATTTGTCGAGGAAAGCAGGATGAGATACAGTTGGTGATTGTTTCATCTCTGTTCTATTCCTTTCATGTATTATCTTTATACAATGTGCAGCAATTTTGTTTAATGACGTTCTCTATGGATATTTCACTGTGCTTTTACTTATGATCGCTCATTCAAGGGAATCGTTTTCAAGAAATTTCCATTGTCGCATTCGAGCGTGATTGTTTAAACCTTGTAGTTTGTCACTCTTTGTGGCCAGCTGCATATTATCCGATTTCCCCTGAATCTTGTATTCTCGTGCAATTCTGAAGCCTTCATCCGTAATCTTACACGGTGATTTTAGTTTAAAGTCTTCAAATTCAGTTGGCTCAACTTTTCTTATACGCTTTCGACATACGTTGCATTCTTTAGGTTAAATGCCTACCAGATAATTTCTCAATGCTTATGATATTAGTGTTTCCAGGTAGAGAAAAGCGATTAGCATTATGTCATCCCATGGAGTACTAACAGTCATTTTCAGTGTGAACCATAAGGAAATTCCTCTTTCAACGAGTAGTATCCCTAAAATTTTCAATTTATTTCTGTGATGACTACGTTGTGATGATTCCAGTAAGAATGGCCTGTACAATTGCTATACGTAATGTGTGCATGATTGGAAGAATGTAATTTTACATGCCTATGACGGGTGGAATGTTGCTTATACAACTCACTAAAATACCACAGCTTCAAGGTTGGAAAGAGAGCAATAAAATCTGTGCAAGACTTGTAAGTGAAATTTATGCCTTTGAAATGGATTTTCTTTTTGTGACTCAACAGATAATATGGCAGTAAGTCGTAGTCGCCATCAATTACGGCATCAATTGGCAGCCAGCCATAGCGTTACAAAGTCTGAAACTATCAACAAAAAAACATGTTTCTTACATCAGAACATCTTCAACATTTGAAATGACAAGAAAAATAAGATCAGAAATCATAAAAGAAACTCGATCACATCAAAAAATAAATAGTTCTAAGAAATCAAAGACTTTGTTCTACATTTTGGTTAATATCTAAAAAGTATGTTCAAAGTTGTTCTTTTCCAAAAATCACCTAGATATAACTTCACCTAAGCATGTTGATAACGTTAAATTACTGTTCTAAGAAAAAATAAATATACAACATGAATGCGAAAAAGTTCACATTCTATGGTATAAGTTTAATTACCACCAGTAGAGGAGAGAATCTTTCCAATTGTAAGAATTGATTGAATTATGTATTGAAAGGGTCCAAATGTTTCGTCAACAAATATACTTAAAATAACAGAAATTTAATCCTAACTTATAATTTCTGCGTCAGTTTTGTATCCTGTTTCCAGGTAAAATAGAATATATATATTTAGATGCAGTTATTTGTTTAAATTTAGAGTGCATGATTTGATTGAGATCTGCAAACGCATGGCTTCTCACTTAAATTTGATTTGTATACATAACAACAGAAACAGTGATTCTGTAGTCGACCTCGTGCTTCGAAATGTTTTATTGATACCCTGCTTATCCCCGGTACCCATCCAGCCAGAGTGTATTCTCCTCACGGAGAAAATATTAGGGTTAGGATTTTCGGCGCTGTTTTTCTTTCACTTATATATTGAGCAAACCCCATTCCTTTTCGTATGAACCGTCTTGATCTTACCCATACACTTTCTGTACACCGAACTATGGAGGTGTTGCTCATACTGTGTGGTTGATGTTCCTTCCTTGTTGTGCACTTCTTGTGTTAGTTTGAGAGATTATCACAAAGGATGAATTGCAGATTCTTAGTCGGATTCCCTCCGATGCAAGTGCATGTGACGCAGTCCTGCGCTTCTGATGTGTCACTCGTTGTAGTTAATGCTTTTGTCCTCCGTATTATATTTCTTGTCATTCTGCTATGATGATGCACAGCTCCCTCTACTGAATAATAGTGAGGATAACGCTTGGCATGTATCGAACCTAAAACCATGGCCGACACTGAGCAGTTTGGCAAAATTGAACGTCCCACTCTGAGTCCTACACGAAAGTATCGGTCCCTTCTCCAGGTTGGTCAGTTGACGTTAATTGTAATGTTGTTTTGTGAGGTGTGTCCTTGAACCTCTTAACCAGCTTTGCACTCCCAAGGATATGAGGATACTCTCCCCAAATGATCGAATCTGATTCGAACTAAGCGTTTATGCTCGAAAGAGCCAAGCCAGAAATCTGATCCTGACTACTGCTCTTTCTATGTAATCCTACCAGAAGACTGTGATGATGAACTTCTAGGCTTGTTTCTCGAACATTCGCAGTGGCCGCCTAAAGCTTTCGCCCTGTCGGGCTTGAGAGTTAATGAAGCTTCCAAATCTTCCTTGGATATCTGAGACTTCTGGTTTGTCAGTTCGTGGTGCATGACTATGATTTTAAAATTCCCGCGCTTCCGAGGGCTTGCCCCTTGACGTCACCAGGACAAACGGTTGAATTTCTTTAGATGAGTTGCGCACGATTCTATGTCTTCTCCTTTGAAATACTTACCGTAATACTTATCCATCTTTCCCTGGCAGTTCATTATTTCGTACCCCTCAGCCCGGAGGTCTGAACTCACAGTTCACACACGATGTTCCTGCAAGTAACCGGCATGCGGCCCCGTGCGAGGGATGGCAGTTGCCACAATGGGCCCTTGGACCCCACACTCTTAATCCAAGTTTTTGAGAACTGAAACATTGATCGGAAATCTGTACTCACTATAATCAAGCTCAACTCAGGGAAATACCCGAACCCTGCTGTGTCACATTAAAGTCATTCTTGTACCATACACTGCGCTCACTTGTAGCATGATATCATATAGTGGTAACATCAACACAGAAATGATTGGTCAAGAATATCAATAGAATCACTGTTGCTTAAAACCCACAATTTGTAATAGCTGATGAAATAAACGCATGAAAAGGGTGTCGGATAAGTACACATGAATCTTAATCAGCGGGACCTTACGTTCTTACTTAATCCACCTCTTCTCAGTCACATTGGCACAGTGCAATTGGGCATGCACGAGACGACGAATCGTCCTTAAGTTGGGGTTAGGGTTCAGCATCAAAAAAGTGCGTGAAGAGACATGAGACGAACAGACACTACTCTCACAAAATTTCTTAGTGAAATAATGTCCGGTTTTAATCAGCACTTGGCTGATAGCAATTTGTAATCCGTCTGAGCTGACTTGGTGTCACCCATTTATGAAATGTATCTGACCCCTGAAAATCTGCACCCAATAACTAAACGACGGAAATTTCGTTGGTCCAGACCTGCATACTCGTCTACCTTTCGTGGGCACTCGACCGTTGGGAGAGGTCATCGGAACGATCCATGTGTGCTTTTATTCGTTGAGATCTGGTAGCCGTTACTCCGCTTTCGTCGACAAGAACAGTGTCCTGGGGGCTTCTCTGTCTCCTTCACAGACATGGCGTAGGAGGGGACTTGGCTGCGCTTACTTTATCTACTGCACCTCGGACTCTGTTGCACTAGCGACAACTTCTGTGTGTGACGATTGCTCCATCAGACAATGCTTAATTTAATCTCGTGTTTTCTTCGAGTATTTCTCTCACGATCTGCAGCTGGCGCTTCTACACCTGGAGTCAAACTCCTTGGTGAGGTGGTGTAAGAGTTTTGGTGATATCTCCCGAACCTGCATTTGTGGGGGGAGTGATTTTGTGTGTATTTTTCTTGAGAGGTTTAGTGTGAATGTTGCGCTGGTGCATGGACTTATTAACGGGACTGTATGTCTCGTATTTGTCTGAAGTCCCGGTCATGAGCTGTAGGCGTTATTGAACGGTGGTAGGGCGTCTGATGAGTGGGATGCCGGTGAGGTTGATGGTTCACAATGCAGGGATGATGCTGCTTTCGGCCACCCTAAGTGCAGTGCATTTGCTTGGTAGTGCTTTCGCATTCTTCTGTGGGTAGTGGATCATCTGGAATCAGCACATTTGGTGGGTGAGTTGAAGAATGAACTAGGTCAAGCGTCTTAGTAGACGAACAGTTGTAGGCAGAGGTATTCCAAAGATATAATCTTTTCTTGATCTTCTTCTTTTTCGACTATCTTGTCGAGCCCTCGGTAGTGGGGATACGAGCCATCTTACCTTACTAGGTTACCTTGACTCATTGGAGGTTGAGCACCACATCACAGCATTACATGAATTAACCACCTTGTCACTGAATAGGAAGAGTTTGGCTTTCACAGCTCCTAGATCACACAAGCTCACAGGCATCCTCCAGTATTTTCGAACTAGCTTCTGAACTGTGCTACCTTTTTTTTTTTTTTTTTTTTTTTTTTTTTCTCTTACTGTCAATGCAGTGTTTCCGAGTTTCAACATTTTGCCACTACTGGTAGTATTCATTGTTCTCACTTGGATGTATGACGTGTACATTCTGTGCAGAACTGAAATGGGTTTCCTGGATGTTTTCTCGGAGAAACGCAACATGAGATACCAGAGAGGAGAAAAGGTACACCCCGCTTCCTTCGACAATTTGCCAGCGTCCTCCATTCGAACTTCCTCCGCCGCTCTAGGTACGCCTTCGAAAGGATCATCCGGAAAGTCAAAGAGAGAACCACCCATGGGTTGGGACAAAGCTGGTGGATTCCCCAACCTCCCTCTGCCACCGCCTGCTACTCAGGGCAGACCACGTCGGAAACCTTCATCTTCATGCTCTGTTTGCTACTGCTTATCCCTCTTCTTCTCTTTTCTTATCATCATCATCATCCTAGCAGGCCTGACCATATTAATATTCTACATTATATTCCAACCGAGGCTTCCCAAAGCCACCATCCTGAATGTCGTCGTCACAAGCTTCAACGTGACTAACAAAAATGGCGGACCCATCGCATCTCTGGCTGACTCACAGAACCCTGTTCTTAATGCGAACATTGCCTTCACCATCCAAGTCGAGAATCCTAACGATAAGCTCGGGATCCACTTCAGGGATTTGAGCGTGTTTGTGTCGTACAATGGCACGCAATTTGCTCACAGCTTCGTACCCCCCTTTTATCAAGGAAAAAAGACGAAGTCTGAAGTGATAGCTAATTTGAAGGCCACGAGTGCCCCACTGTCTCAGAGTCAGGGGCAGGATTTGCAGGCTGCAATCGGCCAAAATGATATTCCTCTCTCTGCACGGATCACCGTTGGGGCAGCGCTGGAGATAGGTTCGTGGATAATACCGCCTGGCCATATTCAGGTTTTGTGCCAACTGCGGGTGAGTCCCCCAACGTCTCCTGCTGGTGCCAAACTCCTATCTAAATCCTGTAAGTGGGTGCGTAATGCGAAGATCTGAATCCTTCAAGCCCGTGGGCCTTCAACCTGAGTATCATCAAGATCTTGAAGGGTTTACAAGCAAGGATTCAAAGCCAAAAGCAGCACCACGACGGAGTGAAGTGTGAACACGATGATCAATCGATCATTATCTCCTTCTGGGCCAGTGCTAGAGGCCAGTGCACAACTTTTGGACATGTCCTGAAAAGAGTTGAGCTCTTTTGCAGCTCCGCTGGGAGTTGAGCTCCATCTGAAGATAACACCTAAGTGGCAAGATAGATAACTCCCTCACTTAGTCTCCTCTACACAGATGGTTCTTCCAGGAATGATTCCTTGTTTTTTTTTTTTTTTTTTTTTTTTAATTTTTATTTTATCAAACTAACATTTCCTATAATGTCCCTGCTCGAAACCGTCTTTGTCGAATACAACCGTCATGCGTCTGACGTCGTGCACTACATTGGAGTCGTTTGGCTGGTCTTCACCTTGTGCTCTGAATTGTTAATGAAGCTGATGCTGCATTTTGAAACTTCAGGCTTTTACACCCAAGACCCTGACCATAGATCTCAAGGTGACATAAACGTGTGCAATTTTTCTGTGATCAAAACACATTGTCGTTTTTTGTTCTGTAGCTCAGTGTCGAATTCTAGCAGCTGCTTATGTGTATTCTATTATTTTTACCTGAAGGGTAGCAGATGATCTGCCAATTTTTTAGCATGCCTTCCACGAGCTGTACCTTTTCCTTGTCAAACTAGAGACGATTTCTGTACTTGTACTCATTAATGCAAACCTTTCATCTGGGAGTTTTCAGGCTATCCCGTTCTAGTATGTGCGGAAATTACGTAACTTGTTCCGACTTAGTAAGCTAATTTGCTGTGCCCTTCAATTTTGTACTCTTGTGTAGACTTTGGAACTTCTGTAACCATACATCAGTATTTTTTGAAGTCAACTGAAGTTGTGATTGCGGAGTTCCTAGATAACAGTATGTTGGATGATGTATGTGAAGCAGTAGATGCAAAGAGCATGCAAATCTTCGATGTTCAAGGCCGCAGACTTTTAGGAATTCGAGTTCGTCATGTATCTTGACCATTGGGGACTGAAGTCACTGAGGAGCAGACGGGCATGTAGGCTCACGATTTGTAATCCGGTAGGCGTCGTTAGTTGCTTTCATGAGACCTACGAAAGAAGCGAGGCAGAACGACTAGGGCGGTGGGGAGTTATGGAAATGAATGCAGGCGATAAGATTCATGAAGACTGGATATTGCAGTTGTAGATTCTTGACACAGCTACCAAAAAGAAACTACTGCCGTGTTGCGACAGGCTAGTTGATTTCCCATCGAATTGCGGCAAACCTGTTTCCTTGATAATAGTACTTATTCCTTGAGGTGAATGGAGGGAGAAATAGTGTCTTTTCATTTGGGTGCCATGCCGAAGGATGATGTAGGCCAGATAATCACTTCCCAAAACAGATGTTCTGGGAGAACCAACGCCTTAATACTGCAACTCTCTACTTGGTCTCTGCTTTCAGTGTTGCTGAAGCTGCTAAGGGACAGTTTTCAAACCTGACTGGTCGCCGCGTAAACCAGAGAATGTCCGTGTGTCATTGTGTGTGGCTTCGCACATTGCTGCTGCTGGATCTTTTGTGCGGATTACACTAATGTTAGGCATAAGTTCAGAACTTGTCAAACAACGGTCTCTGCTTCTGAAATGTCACAGTGCTTCCATCAAAGTCTTCGTTTCGCTGGTTGTTGGCTTCCTGTGAAAGCATATGGTTGTGACTCAAGAGTTGGAGCTTGTGACTTTGATGGGTTAACCAGCTGTGAAAGCCCAAACCATGTCCGATCATGATGTGATTATCATCGACTGCTTCCGGTGGTCCGGCTAGTATCTCGGGCTAACTTCGTCGTTGCTGTTTTTTGGTTCTCACTTTGTCAAAGAAAGCCAGCGAAGAAAGAAAGCTAATAAGAACATGAACTTGTCATCTTCGTCGATTCGGAGTACTCCATCCAAATTTAACCCCTCTCGCCATCTTGCTTCACAGAAATTGTTAATTGCAGTGGTGACTCAACCATATTGAAGAAAAATATCTCTAATTGCAGCTGCATCCCTCACTGAAATCAGACGTGGGATCGATGTCCAGACCCTTCGTCTTAAAGTGTCACCGACTTCACCACCACAATCCTTCAAATTCATAATGAGGTGGCTTGCTGCAGTATAATTTAGATCGTTGCGCTCCAAAACCGAATCCTTTGAGCGTTTAAGGAGATTCTGAAGGTGGGATTTTAGTTCACTTTTGTGAGCTTGTTTGTTTAGGCTGATCTGACAAGGAACACAGTGGAAATGGTTGAAGCTGTTGCTGTAGGAGTTGAGGCTGGTCCTTTGCAGAAGAATAGGGAGCTGGTGTCGTTGTTTGTAGCGTTAGAGCCATAACTATTAGAGATCCTCTTGGATGGCAACAGAACCCAAGGACGGTGAGAGGTTGCATTTTCCTTGTATTCTGCTGATTTTTATGAGCTTTTATTCACACAAATGTGTAAAAGGGCTTTTCCCGTCGTTATGTTGCAATATGTTTGGTAGGTAGAGTATCTATTCACTCGTTCAAAAACGATTCGTGCCGATCCTACAATTTTTCTGCTGTTGGTTTCCTTGATTTTCTCGTCCATTTTGCAACTTGCCCGCGAAAGAAGTTTTGAGTCAATCGCACCTGATTTTTCAACTTATTATTATTGTTTATGGTCCAGTGGCTTTCGAGAATCCTTCTTCTGAGATTGTCCTTGTGGCATGTAACTTGGTAGATATTGATTCTGGATTGCTCTCATTGCGGGGCAGCAAATGAGGGTGCTCTTTGATTCAACAGATTAAGGATCCGCGACATCAGTGCCCTTGGCATTGAAGGTTTTGAGCAATCCATTTCTGTCTTTCTCTTCTGTGAATGAATTGTAAGTTATTCCTGTTACGAATCATCCATTTATTTTCTAGGCCAATTTTCGTGTAGGTTTGATGTTTCTTTAGCTTCGGTGTGGAACTAAACACCCTTGGCTGTTCTGTGTACTTGGGTGTTGTTTTTCTAGTTCACAGGGTACTCGTTTAATCTTGACTTCAACTATGAAACCTTATCACCGATACAAAACTCTTTCATCGACAACTTAGGCAACCCATTCATCGAAAGGAACTTCGGTATCCCTTCAAGGCAATTCGACGTTGGTGTCATGGACTGGTTTGCTACGTTATGGGAATCGGAGAAAGGTTAGTACCAGGGTTACGTTACTAATCCTACAGCATAGAAGGCAACGTTCGCTCTCCTGATGCCTTTCGTCAAAAGGGTACTCATAATGTTCAACACCCCGTATTTCCTGAGATGCCACCATTATGGGAAGTTGTAATGCCTATGCATTAATATCCCTTTGCTGTGCTCTCGATAGGAAAATATATTAGGGGTTTCAGACAGAGGTCCAGAGGTGTCATCAAAATTTGCTCCACCCTGAAGAGTGCTTTTGAGAAGCTGACTTGGAAGTGCTGCTGAATGGGGTTAAGAGCACTGTTGGTGTTTGAGAGATATCTGGATGGAGAATGTGTCTCAAAATGGCTGGTTACATGCCAGGTCTACGATCTTATCTATTCACTAGGTATTTTGATTTCATGCCATCTGGGTGGACAGATAAACCCTTGTATATCCAGGGGTTACTCCACGAATGAACTTGATGAATGAGTAATTTGGTAATGAATGCAAAAATTAAAATGCCTGATGAGTCACATATCATATTTGTATCGTTACATCTAGCTTGAATACTTAAGAAATTGCATTTGATTTTTTAAAATACTCAATAGTTTATACACACACACACGTATGTATATATATATATATATATATATTCTTGGGAGGATGTGTCTGAAAAGTCAAACTTCAGAAACATAGTAAATTTGTGATTTTATAATGGTTAAGAGACAACGTTTTCAACATTTTGATTCTTGCCTCTTACAGCATGTTTTTAATCGGGTACTTGCTGTTGATTTTTGCACCTGTGATGTGGGATTTTGGTTCTGTTTTAACCTAAAAAGTCAAAATGTGGATGAAGAACTATTTGATGTGTGAAAGCCTTGATTGTCATCCTTGTCCACTGTGTAGATGGCTAGATGTGAAAGAGAGGTGCCTGTGCTGAGGTGAGTTACTCACTATATACTAAGGTTTTAATTTTTTAAGATAAATCAGCATAGTACATCTAGATCTATTGTTTCCTTGGAATCAGGGATTTTGAAGTTTTTCCTTGTGCCAGAAATGCAAATTCTATCGTAACAGAGTTGCTGCAAAAGAGTATTGACCCTCTGACAGATAGTTGTTTTAAACTCACGAATTTAATAATCAACCAAATCCCAGTAGGTGACACTTGTTTTTGGATGTTTTCAAGACAACATTGCATATCCAGTGGAGAAATTGAGAAAATTTGTGGAAGATTTTTATATTGAAGCTCAGAATTGTGCATTCTAAGGTAGAAATTGCATTTGTTCTTTGCATCTTGGAGGTAGTGGTTTTTGAGAATTGTGCTTGTTCTGTACATCAAAAATTGCATATTTTCCTCCAAAACAATTCTTAACAGTTGTATTCTCTATAAATAGTATCTCAAATTAATCCTTAGTCAATACTTTCCAATGTTGGAATTGATGTACATTGTGAGGTACTTAGACAATGTTATTTGTTGTAAGTATTAAAGTAAGTAAATAAAAATGAAAGTAGAATAAGTTACATTGTAGAGGATATTATTTTAGGTAAGTTGCTAATGGTCAAAGGGTTAGCTCTTGATATATAAAAAAGTCAAGAAACAAGATAGATGAACAAACAAAGGATCTTAAAAAATATAGAGAATATATTAAAGGTATATTATCATAATAGATAAGATATTAATGAAAATCTCAATAGAATGTTGAATGGATGTATTCATCAAAGAATGGAAGTTGTTTATTAGGGCAACAACACTACGTATGAGGAATGGATAATAGAAGTGAAAATTATCTTACTTCATATTTTCTTTGTGTGCAACCTTATTGATGCTCCATGTTGTGACTTCAAAGTTCTTTTTTCTTCAATATGTTATGGGCCCACTCACCTTTAGTTGTGAGTTTTGAAGTACTTTGAAGTCCTTCTTATTGTGAAGAGTAGATCTTATGATTATTGGTAGTGTTAAGAATTCATATTTTTTAAATTCACTTTTATATCTAGTTATTGCTATAGTTTTGCTCTTACTTGTTAGCTGCATTTATGGTTTTGGAAGTTGTGAGATACCTTAAAATGATATTTTAAAACACAAGTATTATGTTTCTTTATTGAATTATATCATTGCTACACTAACATTGTACTTTTATGTACTAAATTTCTTTAAAAGTCTTTTTATAGTAATAAGAAGTATTTTATGAGATTAGAAGTGTTTTGTGAGAGTTAAAAATGATTAAAGATTGAAATCATTAGTTTACTTTTTAAAGAAGATAATATAGATTTCTAAGGTAGTAACTTCTTTATCTTGATTCAAAGAGTTCTATCTCATCTTTTTTTGATTTTCTTTGATATACTTCTTCTTTAGATATGGCTTCAAGTAAAGGTGAAGGCTTAAAAGTAATTGAAAAATTTAGAGGTGACAATTTTTAGTGGTGAAAAAAAAATGGAGCTTTTGTTGGCTTCATTGGACCTTTAAAATATTGATGATGAAAGAAAAAAGCCTCCAAGCAACAATACTAATGCCAATATGAAAAAATAGTATAAATATTGTAAAAATAAGGTTTTTGAGTTGATTGCAATAAATCTTAATGATGCCATCTTTTCACATGCAATTGCTTGT